AAATTCCCGCCTGGTGGAACACCAGAGGACACACACAGGAGAAAAACCGTATCAGTGCCTGGATTGTGGGAAACGTTTCAGCCAGAGATCCTGCCTAGTGAAACACAAGAGGACTCACACAGGAGAGAAACCATATAAATGTCCTTTTTGTGGGAAAAATTTCAGTCTGAATTCCTGCCTGGTGATACACCAGAGGACACACACAGGAGAAAAACCATATCAGTGCCTGGACTGTGGGAAAAGTTTCAAGCAAAATTCCCAACTGGTGGAACACCACAGGACGCATACAGGAGAGAAACCGTATAATTGTAGTGATTGTGGAAAAAGTTTTAAGCAGAGTTCTAAGCTTGTGAGACACCAGAGAACTCACACAGGAGTAAAACCATTTCAATGTCCAGATTGTGGGAAAAGTTTCAGTCAGAATTCCAACCTGATGATACACCAGAGAACTCACACTGGAGAAAAACCATATCAGTGTCTGGATTGTGGCAAAAGTTTCAAGCAGAATTCTAAGCTTATGATACACAAGAGGACTCACACAGGAGAAAAACCATATGAGTGTCCAGATTGTGGGAAAAGGTTCAGTCAGAATTCGAACTTGTTGATGCACCGGAGGACTCACACTGGAGAGAAACCATATGAGTGCCCAGATTGTGGGAAAAGTTTTAATTGGAATTCCGAGTTGGAAGTACACCGGAGGACTCACACTGGAGAAAAACCATATGAGTGCCTGGATTGTGGGAAAAGTTTCCAGCAGAATTCTAAGCTTGTGATGCACCGGAGGACTCACACTGGAGAAAAACCATATGAGTGCCTGGATTGTGGGAAGACTTTCCAGCAGAATTCTAAGCTTGTCATACACCAGAGGACTCACACAGGAGAAAAACCATATGAGTGTCCAGATTGTGGGAAAGATTTCAGTATTAGGTCTAGCCTTATAAATCATGTAAGGTTACACACAGGGGAGAAACCATATGAATGTCCAGATTGTGGGAAAGATTTCAGTAGTAGGTCTAGCCTTATAAATCATGTAAGGTTACACACAGGGGAGAAACCATTCAAGTGCCCAGATTGTGGGAAGTGTTTCGCACAAAATTCCTCTCTTATTGTACACAAGAAATTCCACATGAAGCAAAATTTGATGTGTGTAGAGGAATCTTGAATTTCATTTTTGTCTTTGGAAGCCCAGTTGAGAAATTAACCATTTAATTTCTTGTCTTATTCTTTTTAGTCAAAACATGTCTTGGTATCAGACATGAGGGAGGAGATCTGAGCTTCCTTTCTCTGGAGTTGTGTGGTTGTTCCTCTTCATAACATCAAGGGGAATTGCCATGCTGGGCCAGAGAAAAGGCGCTTAGATCTCTATTAGGTATATTTGCCACCTTGAGTTATTTCTACATCTAATTAAGGTGGGATATAGATGTGTATGTGTGTGTGTATTTATTTTTATTAAGAAATTGTTTATGGCAGCCCAATGCAACGTGACTCCAGGCAGCTTACAGCAATAAAATACAGAAAGCAATCAACCCCATACATAGCAAATAGCAAAATACAAAGCCTTGACATTTGGCATAGTCCCACACTATTGCATTCCCCACCAGACTGAAAAGGGCCCAAGTGTCTTCCTCCTACACAGCCCTTTCTCTAGGTGGCAAAGTCAGAGCTACAAGCAGAGGGTAAGTTGCAGTCCTAAGCTGCCAACCTTTCACTGCCCTCTTCAGCTGCAATTAGAAAAGATCTGAATCTGCAGCAATGCCTTGAACACCCCTGCCAGGAAAACCTCTCATGATTTTATTATGCATAGAAAACTACTGTTGAAAGTATAAAGCCTGCCAGGGTGCCAACTGTCCAGAAGGGGGAAAATTACACTTCCAGCTCTCTCTTGAGCCTGGAAAAGAATATGGGTGGTTCTCGGATTGCAACAGCAATTAGTGCTAGTGCTGTCAACCCTGAAGTCATTTTGGAAAGTCTCTTTTTTTTGTAAAGTTTATTTTTTAAAAAACATACATCAATATTTCATTAGCATCTGAGTGTCATCATTTTGATACAAAAGCAATATTACAAAAAACTAAATTAGTCCAGTTTACGTAGTCTAATGTTATACATAACTGTGTCAGCACTTAGTCCTTCATTTTTCAATTGCTAATATTTGCTACATTCTTCTAATAGTAATAACTATTTTTAGTATACCTAGTAACATCCTTTTTCAAATTTCTAATCTTAACCTTTCATATTCACTTTTTATATATTGAATAAAAGTATGTTTCACAATATTTCCCCATTTCTAAATTTTATATCCTAATTTTTAATGTGACCTATCTTAAAAGTTGCTACATTAATGTTACACATGACTATGTCAAGTCATAATTCTTCATTTTTCCATTATTCAATATTTGCTACCTCCTAATATTAATAACATCGTTTTTCAAATTCTAATCTCAACTTCTGATATTCACTTTAAATATTGTGTTAGATAAAAAGTATTCCCCCTATTTCTACAGTTTATATCTATTCTAGTTTTAGGCTGGTCTCTCTTTTTTTAAAAGAAAAATCCTTCCTATCCATCGTCTCTCATTCTCTTGGAAGCTACATTTCTTCTCTTTTTAGCTTGCCTCCCGTACTCCTCCCTTGGGTCTTTATCTCTTTCTTTCTTTCTTTAGTTACTTTATTTCCCTCCACAATATTTTTTTGCTGCCAGTCCACCCAAAGGCCTGCCAAATACTCTACCTTTTTTCCAAATATCTTTCGATGTATTCAATTCCATTTTTTATATTTCCTTGTATATATTCTCCCAACTTTATTTCACCCGACTTTATAGTCTCCTCCTTTTCTTCTTCTTCTGTTTGCTGTGTCATCTGTTCTGTCTCATGCTCTGAGTTTACAGTTGTCTCCCTTGTCTCCTGGATTTTATTATCTTGCTTCATTGGTCCTTGTTGCCCATTTTCAGTCTTTCCCCATCATTGTATCATAAATGTTTTGCAGTAGCCTCATAATTTTTGTGTCTCCAGTTCTTCCTCATAAACCATCTTGCCTTATTTTTAAAAAATCCAAGTAGTATTCAGTGTTCTATCAATAATATGTCACCGCTCCAGGGTCTATTCTTTTTGACTTCCCAAAGCCAGCAGATTACTTGGTCTTAATATTGTTCATCAGGAGATGCCATAATTAAAATTCTTTGGATTCCATAATTAGTATAGAAGGATACTGTCATCACACTACGTGCACTCACTGGCCTTGGATCAGGAAACGTGAACATGGGTTGCGTTAGGATCCATCTTGGCAGGCTTGCTTGAGTTCGTGGGGCCTAACTGCTGACCTCTAGGCACTCAAATCACTCCAGGAGACCTGTCAAAGATTGGCTCTGTGAGGGAGGCAGCAGGTTGCAGTCCCGGGAGTTGTCGGAGTTGATGTGTGTCCTCGGAGTCACCTGAGCAGTGCAAATGGATGTGAAGCCTTTGAAGCCACAGGATGTTTTCTGTCCTGTTTCCCTTCACTGTTCGAGACAGATGCAGGCTATTGGAGGTGAGTCTGTTGTCCGCACCTCAAATTGAAGCGAAATGCTTCCTTTAATTTTTCTTGAAATCCATTGATACAATGACTTGGCTGACTGAGAATCTCTATAGACAATTCAGGCTAGATTTTGAATTGCTAAGAAGGGATGGAGCACCAATAGGATATACCATGCTAGATAGCTGAACATGGAAGTGAAAGAAACTAAAATCCCAGCAGAGACAAGGGGTCAAGCTTCAGTCTTACAGATTCTCTAATCTGGAGAGGCAGGTTTTGAGGAGTTACCCCGCGCACGCACACCGCATGAAGAAAACCAAGGGAAACCAAGGGAGGTGCACTCTTGTCTTTTCCTATCTGCACGTCATTTCTAGACTATCCCCCACCCTCAAAAGGGAATGTGGTTGCAAACACAATCCATCTCGGCGGGCGGCTTGGGTTCATGGGGCATAACTTCTGACTTGTAGGCACTCAAATGACTCTGGGAGGCCTGTCAAAGATTGGCTGTGTGAGGGAGGCAGCAGGTTCCAGTCACGAGTTGTCGCCACTCCCTCAGCCTCAGTGCAGCGGAGGTGCTGCTCAAGGGCCGCACGCCCACCCGCTGGCCAGGCTGGGGTGGAAGTGGCGCATCCCCTGGGAGGAGGCAGAAAGCAACCAGTGCATGCAGCCACCGTGGCCAGTCGCTTTGTTCATTTTGTGCCCTCGGAGAAGGCAGAAAGCAAGCGGCTACAGGGTTGGTGGCACTAGGTCTCGGCAGGCCGGCTTGGGTTCGTGCCCTCTAGGCACTCAAATGACTCTGGGAGGTCTGTCAAAGATTGGCTCCATGAGGGAGAGGCAGCAGGTTCCAGTCCCAGGAGTTGTCGGATCCCAAAGGTCTTGCCTCTCTCCATTCGGGACCGTGGGCTGATCTCAGTCGGTTGATGCCCAGTCAGTACTCAGGTGCCCTCATCTCTGGTCCCATCTCCAGAACTGGATCAGCCTGACAAAGCTTCCAGGACTCCAGCTCCTTGGGCCGAGTTCCTTGCCTTTGCTCTGCTTCCGCAGCCTCAATGGCTCGCACCACTTCTTCAGAGGGAGAATACCTTGACAATTACCCCAGTATCCGTACCCACGGCCCCTTCTTCCACTTTCCCTGAGTCTTGGCGCCACCTAGTTGGCAGGTCGGCACTTGGGGCTCAGGACCCTGGACAGCACGCACACACACACAGGTTATCGAGGTGCTGCTTGAAGATTTAGAGATTCAGGTTAATGTCAGCATTCCAACTAACAAACTCCAAACCAGTAAACTCCGAGACAAGCATTTTCTCAAAGTTCCATTTTATTAGAGTTGTCATATTGGCACATCTGGGAAAACCCGAATCTGAGATTTCTGCGTTTTCCCTTCCCAATAGAAAGATTCAACCCCTGCACCCACCAGTCCATCACATAGTCCAATCAGACACAGTCCCAATGCAGACATTCCTTGAGCCGCTCCTCTGCAGGTGCAGAGTGACCCGTCCTTGACTCCTAGAGAAGAATTTTGTTGTGTCTAATCGTCCACCTCTCAATGAAATCCGCCCTCCCCAATTTCCCAGGCAGAAAAATGTGGCCGCTTCCAAGCTCCCAAGTAATATACGGCTTCCAAGGCTGAGAGCCTGTTCTTCCGCCAAGTGCCGCTAGATGGCGTACCACAGAGAACACTCGGTACAGCTGCGACTATTCTAAGGAAGGGGCAGAGGCTGAGGTTTAACGGGTTAACACGATAGAGTAGTGAATTCCTAGACAGGTTCAAAAGGAGAATAGGCGAAGGTCAGAGTAGCTCCCTGTTCTGGCTCAGCCACGGGAGGCTGATGGCGTCTGCGGAGCCTTTTGTGCCGCTTGGAGGGTCGAAGCGGCTCCTGGGAGGTGAGTGGAGG